CGTGACTGTTCCAGAGGCACCTTTTCTGCATAGCCCTTTGCAATGACATCATTTAGACCATTTGAATATTCTTGGTGAGATTCTGGGTTGCTCATAAACTTTTTCCTGAGTCCAAGTATCCTTTGCTTTGCTACTTTAAAGCTGTTTGGCAGGTGAGCATCCGGTCTCTTGAAGGGCAACTTAAGGCAGTATCTCTGTTCCAGTAGAGTTCCAGAAAATTCCATAATATCCATAAACTTTTTGTCTTCTCTAGACATCTCTTTGTCATCTGAAGGCCGTTCATTGAAATCATGATTGTACTGATTGTTCAGCATGATTTCCAAATTGGACACTGAAATCCGATTCACCACAACAGAGGAGCGCTTCATTTCATCATCCCTGCAGTTTCCATTTAAAGGACCATTTTCAAAAGAAAACTTGTTCTTTTCCCTGTGATGTTCAATCGTTGCATAAGGTGTTCAGAGCAAAATGTGGCTGTGCTCCCAGGATCCAAAAATGCATATGTCTGAATAATTTCATTTCCTTTTATAGATTTGACCTGCACTGGGACAATGAAGAGAATGGAACGCTCATTACCAGCCCCTGTGCGTCCACATACTTGGGAAGAAGTGGATGGATTTTCTTCAGGTGGCTCACATGTACGGTGCAACTCAACATTGGTCTTTGGAATATGAAGTGCAGTAGGATGTTGTTGATCACAAACCTCGCAGATCAAGCGTTTCTTACAGTCGCGGCTCATGTGTCCAACCTTTAAACAACCAAAGCATATTCCTTTTTCCTTTAGGAACCGGATCTTTTCTCTGTGTTTTTTACTTTGGAACTGTTGGCATTTTTCCAAGAGGTGAGCATGTGTACAGCAAGAACAATACAAAAGGTCCTGTTTCTTTGCATTGCTTGTGTGAGCATTTTCTTCAGATGCATTGACAGCCATTGCTGTAGTGGCAAAACTACTTCCTTTCCATCTGAGTGGTTTTGCTTGCATTTTGAATTTGTTATAGGGTTTTGCAACAGTTACATTCTGTGATACAGGTGGTTCAATGTTTCCAAAAATTGGATCAGAGAGAATCCTTACTTGCTTCTCCAAAAACGCAACAACATCATCGAAATGCGCCCTCCGATTGTATTTTTCCATTATATCATGGGCAACAGTTCTCCACTTTTCACGATATTTATATGGGAATTTACAAACTATTGTTTTCATATTGCTTGGCATGTCCATTTCCTGCATAGGAGGAAGCTCTTCCATCACATTACAGCATCCACGGAGAAACAAACTGTGGGCTTGCAAAGCTTTAACGTCCTCTGACTTTATTGCTGGCCAGGTTAAAGCCTTTTCAATGTATGTGTTAGCAATTTTGTACTCATTACCGAAATGTTCATAAAGCAGACCCTTTGCCACAATGAAGCCACGTTCAGGATCCATGTGCTGACAACTTTGGACTAGTTCTCTTGGTTGCCCTCTGGTGAATTGTTCCAAGTAATACAAGCAATCAGCCTTACTAGCTTTGTCCTCCACTCCTTGTTCGAACGATTTTATGAAGGCTTTGTATTGAAATGGATCACCCTCAAAGACAGGTATGTCATGTGGTGGCAGAGAAAGCAGGCATTGTTGGTTCACCAAAGAGGCTGTGATTTCATTTTGTTTGCACATAATACTCACAATATCACCCAGAGGAGTCTGATCATTTTGTCCATGATTCAAGTGTTGACTGTTTTGTGTCACCCAAGCAGTTGTTTGATCATGCAGCAAACCTTGTGATGTTTCCTCAGATGTCCATTTTTTATTGTGCTTTGTTTGCAAATCCATTGAGTGCCTTTGATTTTGTTGCATTGATGAATCCACTTGCTTTTGTGTTTTACAGGCTGCAGGCTCATACTCCTTAGCCAGTGGGTTGAGTGTTTGTGGTGCCAGTTTCCTTTTTTCCCTTTCAAAATAAGAGTTCATACCATCTGTTGGTACCTGAGAGAGCCTTTGTCCATCCATAGCTTGCAAAACTGCCAACATAGCATCAGATGCAGCAAGTTCTGTCTCCAATTCCAGCTGTTGCTTTTTCATTTTTATTTTTTGCTCTTGTTCCTCCAAGGCATGTTGTTCCTTTAAGGCCGCCAACCGAGCCATGACTGCAGCTCTTTCTGCTGCTGCTTTTATTTTTACAGAGGAAGCAGCACTTGACCTGTGACTGGTGGAACTTTTGTTTGAATTTTTACCCACATTAGAAATACTGTCGTTAGGATTTACATCATCATTTTCAACACCTTTGTCAACATTATTCTCAGTTTCAGACACCTGGTTTTCATTTGATTTCACCCACATTTCAACTTCATCAATAAATTCATCATTGAACATCATTTTAGCCTTGAACCATGTTTAATGCCTTCCTTTTTCTTCATGTGGCAACAAAATCAGTAAAGAATCGTGCAAACATCTTATTTCATCACACAGTTCAATAAACCCATGTAGAGATTTTTTTACCTCAGACACTTTAATGCATTGCATAGACCCTTGAATTGATTTCCTTAAAGCGCTTGCTTTGTTTAGTTTAACCTTTCTAGTATTTTGTAGTCGGTCGATCTTGTCTGCGAGACCTTTAACGGAAAGCTTAACTACTCTTTGGCTTGTCCGTGTGTCGCTACTGCCGGCGGCCGCAGAGCCCGGTTTGCTGTCAGCAACTGGCGCGCAGACACCCGAAGATGTTTAGTCTCCAAGTCCTCCATTTAAAGTCCGACAGTCAGAACATGTCTATTAAATCCAGTCAAATGTTTTTCAATTCGGCAACCAATTGGAATTACGCGCTCATTCGTGTGCACACTTTTAAATTTAGATGGCCATCTTTTATTAGTGGTACCGCTACCTTACCCATTTCTGAAGGCTGACCATGTGAAGCTCACTGGCGTCCTCACCGGTGTCTCTCCTCCCGGCGTCCTCCTCGTGGCTCTCTCCTCCCGGCGCCTCCTCACCGGCCCCTGCTCACTCGCTACTCCTCACGATCCTCTGTCCTCTCCTCACCGGCGGGTGAGCAGCTGACGCTCAGTCAGTCGCTGCGGATAACTTTTCCTCGCGTCCCCCGATGCAACAAGTCCAACTTCAAACTTTCCTTCGCGTTTAACACCAATACGCGACAAAAGTCCAACTTCAGTCTCCATCAAAAGTTGTCGACTTATTCCAACAGTTTTTGACTTGATATTGTAGAAGCTAAGCCACGCTTTAAGCTACTAAGTTATTTCATACAGGAAACCTTCTTGACGCGCTGTTACTCTACCTTGCGGATGAATGAGAGTCCAGTTGATCAGTGTTTAAGATGCAAACAAGCCCATTTATTTGACATCTAATGCTTTGATTTACACTCACACACAAACATTTCAAAACATACGGCAGCGTCCGCGTCAGCGGTCAAAAACTGTTCCCCCTCACTCCAGTAGGAAACACCTGACGAGCCTCCAAAGGTTCCCACTCTATATAGGCTGACCCGTCACAGTTATGACACACAACAATTAACCGTACATCTGCTCTTACAGTTATAATCCTCTGTGATTTTAACAAAGGAAATCTCAGTCAGGAACTACCAAAATACAAACAGTTTGTAACATGCCCAACCAGAGAGGGGAACACATTAGATCACTGTTACACTACAGTGGGTGATGCCTATCGCGCTGTGGCTCGCGCAGCTTTGGGACTCTCAGATCATGCCATGGTTCACCTGATCCCTGCGTACAAACAGAGACTAAAACGCTGTAAACCTGTAGTGAGGACATCCAAAGTGTGGACCAGTGAAGCTGTGGTGGAGCTACGCACGTGCTTGGACACCATGGACTGGGATATGTTTAAGGCTTCTACAGACAGTTTAGACGATTACACAGACACTGTGACGACGTATATTCATTTTTGTCAAGACAGCATCATCCCATACGGACCAGGGCGAAATGCAACAACGGCAAGCCCTGCTTTACATCAAAACTCCGGCAGCTCTGTTCAGCAGAAAGAGGTGGCTTTCAGGGAAGGTGACAGAGACTGCTACAAATGTGCCAAGTACAGTTTTAGCAAGGAGGTGGCAAAGGCTACAGCCAGGTACAACACACATCTGGAGCAAAGATTCTCTGCCAACAACCCTGCCTCGATGTGGAGGGGGTTGAAAGAGATTACAAACTACAAGCCCAAAGCACCTTGTTCAACTGACAACTTGAAACTAACCAACAACCTTAATGACTTCTTTTCACGCTTCGAAGTCATGGACTCACATCCCCTCACCCCCCACACAACTGGAAATCCAACCACTCTGGACCTCCCCCCTCCCCCCGCTGCCCTCTCGGTCAATGAAGAGGAAGTAAACAGACTGTTTAAGCGGCTGAGTCCACACAAGGCTGCTGGCCTGGACTGTGTCTCTCCTGCCACTCTGAGACACTGCGCTGATGAGCTAGCTCCAGTCTTCACAGGGATCTTCAACACCTCCCTTGAGTCATGCCATGTTCCAGCCTGTTTCAAGTCCTCCATCATTGTTCCCATCCCCAAGAAACTTTGCATAACTGGACTCAATGACTACAGGCCGGTGGCTCTTACGTCTGTAGTCATGAAGACATTTGAAAGCCTGGTTTTATCCCACCTGAAGTCCATCACCGACCCCCTCCTGGGCCCTCTGCAGTTTGCCTACAGAGCCAACAGGTCTGTAGACGACACCATAAACCTGGCGCTGTACTTCATCCTGCAGCACCTGGACTCCCCAGGATCCTACGCAAGGATCCTGTTCGTGGACTTCAGCTCTGCATTCAACACCATCCTTCCGGCTTTGCTCCAGAACAAGCTTTCCCTGCTCCATGTGCCTGACTCCACCTGTAGGTGGATCACAGACTTCCTGACGGACCGGAGTCAGTGTGTGCGGCTGGGGAAGAATGTTTCGGACACTCAGGCTCTTGGCACGGGATCTCCACAGGGCTGTGTACTTTCCCCTCTGCTCCTCTCCCTGTACACCAACTGCTTCACCTCTAAAGCATTTATTGAAAGCAAGATGGCCGCCACCACAATGTCTCCACTCACCTCTCCACACAGGTGCGATGGCTGCCTTGAGAAATCCCGATCCATAGCACAACTCGAGCGCCGTATCTCCGACCTTCACTGGATCCGGAATGAAGAAAAGCTCTTGGACTCAGTGATCACGTTGGGCGCCAGTCCACCTGTTAAGTCCGAGTTAGACTCCACCATCCCGGTCTGGGATGCTGGCTCGCCGGCCGCCTCCGTCTGTCAGCCTTCCCCTGGCCCTGGGGATACTCCAGCCTCAACCGGACCGGCGGCCTCGGGCCCACCACATCTCCAACCCGATGACTGCTGGCTACTGCTGGGTGCAAAGCCCAAACGCGTGCCTACTGCTGCTCTAGACTTTACACCACACCCAAGGAACAGAGTGTGTAGTTCCACCCCGCAGCAGGCGCCCTGGTCCTCCGTTCCAGCGAGGAAGGCCGGCGGGACCAGACCACAACTTCCCGGTGAGCTCCAGCTGTCCAACCGCTACAAGGTCCTGAGCCTGGAGGATTTCCCCCCACTGACCAGAGAGCCGGCGGCTGTCTCTGAGCGGGCCGCTGTTTCCACCGCGGCAGTATCTGGCGGTGCTCCATCCACCGAGGTCCAAGCAGGTGTCTCCTCGCCAGCAACCTCCAACCACTCGAAGCGCCGTGGAGGCCGATCTGGGAAGCGGCGTGCCGGCATTCTCAGGTGTCCTCTCACCGTGCTGCCCCTGAGCAGCAGCAACATCTGGAGGGAACCCCGTCCCAGCCCGATGGGATCAAGGTAACACCAGCGCCTCCACATCCTCTTTCCCCCCCCACCACCTTAATTGTGGGTGACTCCACAATTAAGCATGTCCGCTTTTTTAACGCCGTCACTTGCTGCCTCCCAGGTGCTACTGTACCGATCATTTTAAACAAACTCCCGGGGTTCTTGCACTCCCTGCCCGGTACAGTCAGCAAGGTTGTTGTCCATGTAGGATGCAATGACACTGCTCGCAAGCAGTCCGAGCTCTTAAAAATTGATTTTAGAGACCTGCTCAGGCTCCTGCGCACCACGGGGAAGGCCGTCTTCATCTCCGGCCCAATCCCAACACTGGCCCGGGGAGCAGAGCGGTTCAGCAGTCTGCTCAGCCTCAACACCTGGCTGCTTTCCGCCTGCAGAGACTATGAGGTTGGTTTTATCGACCATTTTAATCTATTTTGGAATTGCTACTCCGCATACAGGCCAGACGGAGTGCACCCAAACAAATTAGGCAGCACCATGCTCGCTGCTAATTTGCAGCACTCGGTGCAATCTGCCACACGTGACTGACTATTGTTTACCCCACACACCCCCTTCCACACCTCTTCACCTTCACCTTCCGCGGCAGCACCCAGTGCTACTTCACTCAACACTTAATGCTAAACGTGCGCTCTCTTTTGAACAAGACTTTTATAATGAATGACCTGATTATAGACAGCAAACTTGATATTTTGTTGCTCACAGAAACATGGCTTGGTACTGAGGAAGGGGTTGCCCTCTCTGAGGCCTGTCCACCTAATTTTAACTTTTTATTTTCTACCAGGGAAGGCAGGGGAGGCGGGACTGCATCTTTTATCTTGAAATCGCTTAATTCTTGTGAAGTTTCTTTTAACAGTTATACATCATTTGAATACACTGCATTTGTTTTTAGCAGTCCCCCTATACTATGTATTACTATCTATAGGCCACCTCGTCATCCCAAGGTTTTTATCAGTGAATTTTCAGAACTTCTCTCAGTCATACACTCTACCTATAACAGGATTTTAATAGCTGGTGATTTTAACTTCCATGTTGACAACAGTTCGGACGCAATGTCCTGAGAATTTTTAAATATTTTAGATTGCATGGATTTTAACCAACACATTGCCCAGCCAACTCACAACAGAGGACACACTCTGGACCTGGTCATAAGTTATGGCCTGTCCACTGGTGTGTCCTCTGTTGTTGACCTAGCGGTGTCTGACCACTACTGCGTGTTTTTTAATATCACCAGTTTTAGCCATCGAGAGGCCTCAGTGAGAACGGTGAGGAAACGCTTCCTTACTTCTGAAGTGGCTGCAAATTTTATAGAGATTTTACAGAACACTCCTGCTGAAATTTTACCTGCACCTTGTGATTTTATTGTCGATGATTTTAACTACAAATTAAAGACATCACTAGATGCAGTGGCTCCACTTTTAACTAAAACTGTAAGAACTAAGAAAACACAACTGTGGAGAGATAGCAACATCAAGCAACTGAAGAGAAAATGCAGGGGTGCAGAGAGAAGGTGGAGAAAAACCAAATTAACAGTCCACTATGAAATATACCGGGATCAACTAAAAACCTACAATAACACAATGAAATTGTCCAGAAGAAATCATTTTTCTAAACTCATTACTGACAATAAAAACAACCCGAGGTTTCTCTTTTCCACTTTTAATCTTTTAACCAGCACCGATTCTAATATGTCCTTGACACCTACAGTGACCCTCTGTGAGGACCACTTCAGAAGCAAGATTGATTCCATCAGATCCAGTGTTTTATCTCATCAGCATGCTGTTCTTAATACACCTGGATCACTGCTTTTACCCGTGGAGACACTGGAGAGTTTTAGTCTGGTTGATGCGAAGGCCCTTGGTCGAGTATTCTCCCAGGTAAACCCCACAACCTGCCTTTTAGATACAATTCCCACATCGCTTTTAAAGACATTTTATGAATTCTTCGAGGAACAGATTTTAAATATAGTGAATTGCTCTCTTCAGACGGGTGTCGTCCCTACTGCCTATAAAATGGCGGTGGTGAAGCCCCTTCTGAAGAAGAGCAATCTAGACCACAATGTTTTTAACAACTACAGGCCTGTATCTAATCTACCATTTTTAAGTAAAATCTTAGACAAGGTAGTTTTTAACCAAGTGAATTATTTTTTAACTAAAAACAGTATTTCTGAGAAATTTCAATCTGGCTTTAGGATGAACCACAGCACTGAGACGGCTCTTTTGAAGATTTTAAATGACACCAGATGTAATTTAGATACCAAAAAACTAACAGTCTTGGTCTTCCTGGATCTTAGTGCTGCTTTTGATACCATAGACAATCACATTTTATTAAACAGACCGTAGCATCTGGTTGGCCTCTCTGGTACCGTTTTTAAGTGGTTCCACTCCTATCTCATGGATCAATCTTTCTTTGTGAATATGGATACATGTTCCTCCAGAACACATAAAATTAAGTGTGGGGTCCCCCAAGGGTCAATTTTAGGCCCACTTCTTTTTAATCTTTACACACTTCCTTTGGGGGATGTAATCAGGAGTCACGGCATCAGTTTCGAGTGGCAAGATGGCGCCGGTGTGTGTGGCTGGCCGTCTGCTACTACTGCAATGCTTGTTTTTTCTGTTGTTTTTAACCATTGGCACTAAACAAATCGAGTCTCTGTTGGTGTATGATCGCCAGTCTCTTTTATCACTCAAACAAAAAGCCACAGATTTGCGTGGTTTTGATCGGGGTGGCAAAGACAGTTTGCCACCGCTGTTGGCGGGGATTCCACCTCACCTGTGCCGGGTGCCGGCCCTGCCTTCTCGCCGGAGGCGTCCTCGTCGCCGCGGCAGACGCGGCGGTCGGCTGGTGAAGCTAAAGCTTCGGCTGTCTCGATCTTCGTCCATTTTCCGGACAGGGCATGGATTATCCCCTCATGTCTTTGTGCCTCGTCGCTTTCTGGACCCGATCGGCGTCTGTCTGGTACCTGTCATCGGCTCAGCGGAGGGACCTGAACCCCGCCGCCTCTGCCCTCTTCGGCTGTCACAGCGTGGGGTGGACCATCGGCTCCTCAGATCGCTGCGCCCGGCTCCCCGACCCACCGGACTACAGGCCCCGGCCCCAGCACCTGCCAGGATCTGCTTGGTAAACGCCAGATCCCTGGTGAATAAAACTTTTATCCTGAAGGATTTCTTCAGCTCTCGTGCCCTGGATTTCCTCTGTGTGACAGAGACTTGGATCGGTGCGGGTGAGTCCAACGCTCTAGCCGAACTTTTACCTCCCGACTGCTCTTACTTTAACTCCCCGCGGACGTCGGGTCGTGGTGGAGGAATAGCAACGATATATAAGAATGGTTTTAAATGCAAGCAGCGCACAGTATCATCCTCTTTTTCAAGCTTTGAGGTGACTTTATTTGAGGTGGGTCGGTCTGACCCGGTGCTGTGCGCGGTCATTTATCGCCCCCCCAAATACAATAAGGAGTTTTTAAATGACTTCTCTGGTCTACTGGCTGAAATTATGCCGAACTATGATCGTGTCCTTATTCTTGGGGATTTTAATATTCACCTGTGTTGTCCAGAAAAGCCGTTGGTGAAGGACTTTGTAAGTCTTATTGACTCTTTTAATTTGGTGCAGTGTGTGTCGGGTGCCACACACGAGCACGGGCATTTACTGGACCTCGTACTGTGTCATGGTTTACATGTGTCTAACCTGGTGATATGTGATGATGTATTTTCTGATCACAGGCCTGTATTGTTTGAAGTGTACCTTTCTTGCTCTGAGGTTAAATCTGGCGCTCCTGCGCAGAGACGCCGGATTATTAACCCCTCCACTGCCGGTCGCTTCTCTGTGGCTTTTGAACACCTCTGTGTCTGCCCTACCTCTGCGAACACAGAGGTGCTCAGCTCCTGGTTTCATTCCTTCTGTGAAAATATTCTGGACTCTGTGGCTCCTTTAAAAACTGTTCGGCCAAAGGCTAAATCGGAGCCCTGGTTCAATGAAGAAACTCGCGCAGCTAGACGAGAGTGCCGCAAAGCTGAGCGAAGGTGGAAGAAGGACAAGCTGCAGGTTTCTTTCCAAATACTTAAGGACTCCTTGATCACCTACCAGAAAACTGTTAAACAGAGCAAAATACAATACCTGGCAAACTTGGTGGAGGTAAATCACCATAACCCACGTGTGTTGTTTAACCCTTGTACCTTCTTTCCTCAGAATCCCTAATCTGGTATTAGTGGCACGGAACTGCCACTGTCACTTAGTGGCCTGTAAAATCATCTATAAATGAAAAGTTGCCCTTTTTTTATCATGGCTGTCATCAGTGACTTCTGCTCTAACCACTCAAAAGAAAAAAATCACTCAGTTTCAAACTTTTAACCCTTTTAATTTAAGTCTAAACACACCGTAAAAAATGCCCAAAATTTTAAAAAGTGGTAAAAAATAAGAGTATTGCAAAATCAAATTTCTTTGTGCAAGATTATCAGAACCTATGAGTGGTATAAGTATGTGTAAAATTAGTTTTAGTTGCAGTTTCAGTTTTTGTGTCACAGCAGAAAATAAAAAAAAATAATCTGGCATTAGTGGCACGGAACTGCCACTGTCACTTAGTGGCCTATAAAATCATCTATAAATGAAAAGTTGCCCTTTTTTTATTATGGCTGTCATCAGTGACTTCTGCTCTAACCACTCAAAAGAAAAAATCACTCAGTTTCAAACTTTTAACCCTTTTATTTTAGTTTGAACATACAACGCAAACGTGTGTGTGTGTGTGTGTGTGTGTGCTTGCGCTCAGTGGAGCTAGTGAAGCGAGCTAACCTGACTCCGCCACGTGGTGGCGATCGCTGTGTGTGCGCGTGTGCTTGCGCTCAGTGGAGCTAGTGAGGCGAGCTTACCTGACTCCGCCACGTGGTGGCGATCGCTGTGTGTGTAAGTGTGTGTGTGTGCGTGTGTGGAGTGTGTGTGTGGGGTGTGTGTGTGTGTGTTTGTGCTTGCTTACGATCGGCGGAGCTGAGGGAAGGTATCTCCAGAACAGGTGGTGCGGCACAGTAATTAGTATGAGATACGTCGGACTGCCGGATGCAAAACCCCGTTAACCGGAAGAAGAAGAGGTCGGCTACCACCTCCAGAGCAGCCAGCGGCTCCCCGCCTTTGCTGCCGCGGGCCTAAGGCTATCTGATCACGGGTAACGGGGCGGCTGTACCCGGGGCAACCTCGGACGCTTGGGGCGCATGTGCCATGAACGCAATCGCTGGCTGTGACGAGCGCGTGCAAGATCATGCGCGTGCACAAACATTTGCACACGAACACACACGACCATGCACACATGGAAAACACTAACACATGAAAAAAAATACATGCACACCTGATTTATTCACTTCTACAGTCTACTTTTGTTTTTTTGCAAAAAATGGCCTCTCACTGAAGGCCAATAACGGATATGAAAACAAATGAAATTTCAGCATTCATGATTTGAAAAAGCTGGATTGGAAATAGACTCAAGATAAAATGCAAAAAAATGGGGGGTAAAATCTGATTTGAACTCTTGTGGCAGTATATTACAAACAGGTAGCAGATTTTCCTTCCAAAAGACTGCATCTATCATAGGCTGTAGTTTACGGGTGTGTCAAACTGACCAAAATGGTAAAAAAAACAAAAAAAAACCAGAATAACAAATTTGAGACAGTTTCATGCCCAAATAAAGTAAAATGGTAAAAATAAAATAAGAAATTGCTTCCTTTTATTAGTGATAAAGTTATGTGCATTTTTTGATTTTTGAATATTGTAATTTTTGCCAAATTCCCATAAGGAATAATGGGGTTTTGACCACCTGGCTAGATCAGCCTCTATTATTCATGAAAAAAAAGGTGCACCTTTTGGCTGAAAGTGCACAGTGCCTCTTTAATGTCGTCTGAAAAGGGGGAAAACAGTCTTTGCTGAAATTCATTTTTTCCCACTGATATGGGTATCAGGTGGTTTCCCATTGGAATGCATGGGGCACTTGTGTGGCGCTAAGGCAAGATTAAGCATATTTGAAAAAAAAACACATAACCATAGGGTTTTTTTTCTTCAATTTCACGTATATCATGCCTTATCACAAAATACACATTTTCTAGGAATTTCTTTGCAAGGAGGTACAAGGGTTACAAGTATCGACACTGTTCTAAACGCCCCACAGCCTGCCAGCTTGGAGGCATCTGTGGAAATGTGCAATAATTTTCTGTACTTTTTTATTGAAAAGGTTGTGACTGCCAGGTCTCTCATCTGTGCTCCTGCATCCGACCCCTCTGTGCCTGTTCCTTTGTCATATTTAGAAGAGCTGGTTGGCCATATTAAGCCTGCAGGTTCTCCCTGTGATGTTGTCCCTCCCAGGCTGTTTAAAGAGGTTTTCCCCTGCATAGGTCAGTCTGTTCTGGCTATCATAAACAGCAGTCTGTCCTCTGGTGTTGTTCCGCCAGGTTTTAAACATGCAGTGGTGCAGCCTCTACTTAAAAAACCAGGCCTTGATTGCAGAGTCGTCGGCCAGGACCAGCGGCATTCGTGCCACCCTGGACCCCGGCCCCCAGCCCCAGCATCAGCACCAGCGCGCCGACAAGCGGTGGAGCTTCCACCAGCCGCGGCGCTTCCGCTGGACCACCCGGACGCAGTGGAAGGGTCCTCACAGAGGCGGTCCTACAATCGCAGGAAGAAATCAGGGGGATCGCGGGGATCAACGAGCGGCTGGACCGGCCCGTAAATGTCCTCGAGCGTCTGGTGGCGAAAATAAATTAATTTGGCTCATTGAACTGTGTATTCACTTCTTACCCATTCACACTGTGGCGATGAGATTCTCTCGCGTGAGGACGGCGGCCCGGCAGGGATCAGCTCGCATCCCTCTGTCTGCTGCTGGTTCGTCATGTGGGGCGACATGCTGCCCGGCCACTGCGATGTGTGAACGCTTGTCACATACTGAGTCACCAAACACCGCCACACAGCGTCGCCAAAGTGCCGTCAACGCAAGTATCGGCTCAACGCCAACTTCTACACCACCTCCTCACTTTGCGTTGATTAGCGCTGGAACCGACGCTCGTGTCGCGATGATAAATCTGGCAGACGCAAGGTTTTCTGGCGCCGCCAGCGTTGATACATGAGGCCCCTGGACATTTGGCTCTACTTCTTAACGCATCGCGGCCTGCTTTACTGGGTTGAATAATGTGTTGTGATGCTCTCCCCATGACCTGTACATCTCCAGGACTCGGGGCCGAGCAGGTCGGATCGCAGCTGACCCTTCTCAACCTGCACATGGACTATTTCAGACACTCCCCTCAGGCAGGAGGCCACGGTCCATTTGGACCAGAACCTCCCGCCATAAGAACAGTCTCTTCCCCTCTGCCGTTGGACTCATGAACACTTTTTAACTCACTCACTTCAACTCTGTCAATTTATCACTGGTCACTTTAGTTTAATGTACCTTGTTTTTTTAATTGCACTCCTCCCACTGCACTGTTGTTCTATATTGTGTAGTTGTACATAGCCTGTTATACTTACTGTACATAGCATTGTACATAGCCTTTTATACTTTTATACTTTATATATGTCCTGCATGCTCTTATTATTTTCTATTCTAGTATTTTATATATTATTCTCCGTTTAATGTTGCACCATCACGCCTTAAAAAATGCCTAGTGTGTGAATCCTGTTCATTGACAATGGCAATAAAACCCCTTCTGATTCTGATGATATAATCTGGGGACTTAATAACATACTGAAAACATTTTCTGAATGTTGTTTTAAAATGTTCCTTTGGGGTTTTTCTTAAATATCAGAGAAATGTTCTCTAGAAGAACATTCAATGATCATGAACCCAAAAACATGTTCAAAACATCTTAAGCATGTTTACGAAAAATGTTCTATCTTTGTTAATATATCACATTTCTAAAAATAATTTAAAAAAGAACATTGGGTAATCCAAGGCACCAGTAACGTCCTGAAAACATTTTCCAAACATTACTTTGAAAAGTTTCTTCATGGGATATCACTTAACATGGTGGGAACATTTTATTGATAACATTCTGTAATCTGTTACCTAAATATTGTCCCTAAAATATCCTCAGAATGCTAGAGGTAAAACATTCTTTCTTTGTTTCTCAATGACATTATAAAAACATGTAATTCAGATATGCAGCATCAACAACATCCTGAAAAGATTTTTTTAAATATTGCTTTTAGAATATTCCTTACTTATTACCATAGAACATTTTAAGAATTTTTTTAAAGTAACATACTGCAATCAGAGGTCTTAACAGCATCCCAAAAATGTCTTTAAAATGTTTTTTTCTGAAACTGTCTTTCCTTTGTTATTATGGAACATTTTGGTAATGTTTTATAGAGGAACATTCTATAATTGCATACCCCAGTTATGTCCCCAGAACATCCTTAGGATGTAACATTTAAAACATTTTATCTTTGTTAACATTTCACACTACAGAAACATTATTCAAAATAATAAACATGTGTCTACCTGAGCACATGGTCACCTATTTGAATGAATAGAAGGTTGCATCTCTGGCTGAGCAGATTGCGGGGATCAACCTTATTCTCGGGAATGATTTGGCAGGAAGTAAAGTGTTCCCCAGCAGTCCTGAGGTGATGGACAATCCCGCTGCTGATGTGTGCATCTGCCCTGCTGAGCCTGACATGCTGCCTGTGTTCCCCTCATGTGTTGTGACGCTTGCCCAAGCACGTAAGTTTGAAGAAGTGACTGATCTGTCTTATTCATTTTTTAGTGTTCCAGATAGCATAGTTCCCTCTCCAGAATATTAAAGTGTTCCTGTGTCTGTTGATGTGCAGCTGGATGAGAATTTGTGTTTATCTGTCAGTAAAGAGGAACTAATTAAGGTGCAGAAAGCCGATGGCACGCTGGTGGATTGTCTCTCCGCGGCACAGAATAAAGAAAAAATAAACTTGTGTCTTACCTGTTTGATGATGGTGCTTTGATGAGGAGATGGTCCCCAACGGATGGTGTGGAGTGTGATGTGATTACGCAGGTGGTTGTGCCGAGAGAGTTTCACCGACAGATACTGAGTTTGGCCCATGATCATGTTTTGTCCGGTCACTTAGGGGTTAAAAAAACACACACAATCAGATCCTTCATTATTTTTTTTGGCCGGGGTTAAAATCCGATGTTTCAAAGTACTGCCGTTCCTGTCGTGTCTGCCAGATGACTGGAAAACCAAACCAGGTTATTCCTCTGGCCCCCTTACAGCCATCCCCAGTGATCTCTGAACCATTCGAACATGTAATCCTAGACTGTCTAGGGCCACTGCCAAAAAACAAGTCCGGTCACCAATACCTGCTCACCATAATGTTCGCTGCCACTCGCTTTCCCAGGGCTGTTCCATTACGCTCACTAAGAGCAAAAGCTGTGTTTAAAGCCCTGGTTAAGTTTTTCTCGACCTATGGGTTGCCTAAGCACATCCAAACCGGCCAAGGCACTAACTTTATGTCTAAGGTATTTGCACAGGTTATGTCAGAGTTGGCCATTAGGCACAATGTCTCCAGTGCGTATCATCTGCAGAGCCAGGGCGCACTGGAGCGTTTCCATCAAACGCTCAAATCCATGCTGTGTAACTATTGTGTTGAGTCAAACAGAGTGGGATGAAGGGTTACCACTGCTGCTGTTTGCTATCCATGAAACCACACAAGAGTTGCTCGGTTTTAGTCCAGCTGAGCTGGTTTTTGGGCACACTGTGCACTGTCCGCTTTGTTTGTTGTGTGAGAGATGGCTCGCAGACAATCCCAGCCCTGCGCACAGCATCTAAGATTATGTGAGTTCATTCAGAAAGAGGTTGCACAGTGTTTGTGCGTTTGCCTGTAGTTCCCTCTCCGTGGCCCAGTCCAAGATGAAAGAACATTGTGAAAGAAAAACTCTCTGTCACCTGGCTGAAAGTGGAGACTAAGTGTTAGTCCTGTTACCTGTGGTGGGCTCTTTTGGGGCAAAGTTCTGTGGTCCTTATGATGTGGAGAGTAAGTAAAGTGACACAGACTATATCAGTAGCACTCCTGACAGAAAGAAAAAGTCCCCTGTGTGTCATGTGACATGTTAAAAAAATATGCCGCTTGTGAAAATGATGACGTGCAATTCGTTGAACCTGGAGCCTGTGTTGCACCTGTGGTGTCCCCCTCATATAGTGCAGAGGAGCATCTGTTGTATCTGTCTGCAAAAAGTGACATTTGCTGCCTCATTCGTAGCCACAAGCAGCTTTTTAGTGACAAGCCCAGTCAAACTAATGTGCCAAAGCACGACATAGATGTTGGTGACAGTAAGCCAATAAAGCAGCATGCATACCGCGTCAACCCAGTAAAGCAGGCCGCGATGCGTTAAGAAGTAGAGCCAAATGTCCAGGTCATCCTAGACTTTCCTGTGCCAGAAACATGTCGGCAACTCCGCCGGTTTCTGGGTATGTGTGGGTACTACAGAGGCCTCTGTAAGATCTTTGCCAGTGTTGTTGCACCCCTCACTAGCTTAGTTAGCCCTGCTGTAAAATTCCAGTGGACTGACGTGTGCCAGGAGTCTTTTGCTTCCACCAAGGCTCTTCTGTGTAGTGCACCCGTGTTGTAAGCACCTGTGCTTGAGTGTCCCTTTAGGGTTGAGTAGATGCGAGTGCTTATGGTGCAGGTGCGGTCCTTTTGCAGGAAGCTGATAAAGGCATCGATCATCCCGTGTGCTACTTCTCTTAGAAGTTTAATAAACATCAGCTTAAAGCCGTGTTCAGACC